GTACTCAAATGAAAGGTCTTGATAAGTGTACCATCGGGATGAGCTTATATCTTTAAAAATGTCAACAGTTCAAAAGATACAAGGTCATTAATTACATTTCTTAATTATGTATTTAGGGATAGAGCATTTTCGAATGCAGCCTTAATACTTATTATCATAAATTGACTATCTAATACATAGATTATACACTAAGAGAAAAAATTTCTTCTGAAAAAAATGTGACAAAAAATTCATTTGTTAAAATTTTTTTAACTGAAGAAATACAAATTTTTCTCTTAATAACATTTTTTTTAATTGAAAAAAACTAATTTTAAATTAATTAATTATTAATTTAAATTTAAAAATAAATTTTCATTATAAAAAGACAACTTGCGAATTTTTAACAAATAATTTTTTTTCCAAATTTAAAAAACTTTCTACAAAAAAATTACTGTAAAAAAAATTTTATTTCTTTAGTTAAGAAATAAAATTTTCAACAAACTAATTTTTTATTAATTAATAATTATAATAATAATTTCTTACGTTCGATAATTTGATGTTGCTACTAAAATACTTTTTTTATTAAAAGGTTTTATTGCAATTGATCCAAACGGCGATAATAGTTCTGAAATCTGATAAAATAATAGTTAATAAATAAAAATAAAAAAAAATGAATAATAAAAATTACCTCACGAATATTGATTGATATTTTTTGAGTTTTTATATTAAGCCAAGGTGGCCGAGTTGATTTAGGATCTGGTCCGTCTAATCTCTATAAATAATAAAAAAAAAAAAAAAAAAATGAGTAAAAAAACAAACAGTTTACAATAATTTATAATATTGAATTGCTGTATAAATAACTTACAATGTGAGAAAGGTCAGCGCGTATTACATTAACGCAATTAACGTACTCGTGAACTCCATAAAAAATTTCCGAGTTGGTCAGTTCTATTAACCCATCACGTCTGTGAAAACAAACAAACCAGCGTTAAGTAAACACAGTTTATAAAAGTCGGAATAAATATTTAAATACTTACAGACCACGTTTTTTAATCGCGTGTACGTATGCTGTTTTTACAAAACAATACCCACTGTAATAAGAATCCCAGCCAGCGTCATGGTATTTTTCTTCGTCTATATTTTTTTAATAAAAATAAAAATAAAAATATTATTAACTTGAGGGTTGAGGTTGAGTTATTGTTAAATATTAAATTTACCTGTGTTTTCTTTCTCGAATTCAATTTTTGGAGAGTCTATTATTAATACACGTCCAGTGGTTATGAAAAATTCGTAAAGCTCTTGAAGAATATTCGATTTTAATACATCTGAAATGATAATCATATTATTAAATTTTATAAATTATATAAAATATCAAAATTTTTTTTTCAAAATAAATTAATTGCTTCGCTTAAAAATAGCTTATAGTGTAAATTTTTAAATCTTTACGGAGGGTCAAATACGAGAACTTTTAAAAAAGTCAATTTTTCTTCTCAATTTATTTTTAAATATCCTCATCTATATTATTAAGAGAATAAGCAAAATTTTGTGGCTAGTGTATTTATATGATAAAATGGGTTTTTATGGTTCATTCTCACCGATAGTCAATTTATTATGATAAGTATTTAGACTGCATTCGAAAATTCTTTATCTCTAGATACATAAATAAGAAATGACCTTGTATCTTGTGAACAATTGACATTTTTAAAGATATAAGCTCATTCTGATGTCACACTTATCAAGACCTTTCATTTGAATACCAACATCAATTTTTCATATATTTATATATATTATATATATGTATATATGAAAAATTGATGTGGGTACTCAAATGAAAGCTCTTGATGAGTGTAACATCAAGATGAGCTTACATCTTTAAAATGATCAATAATTAAGAAATGACCTTGGATCTTGTCAACTACTGACATTTTTAAAGATATAAGCTCACTCCGACATTACACTCATCGAGACCTTTTATTTGAGTACCCACATCAACTTTTCATATATTTTATATATTTCATAAATATCATATATATATATAAAATATATGAAATATATAAAAAATAATCATGTGGGTACTCAAATGAAAAGTCCCGATGAGTGTAACATTAAGATGAGCTTATGTCTTCAATAATATCATTAGGCGACAAAATACAACATAATTTCTTAATTATTGATATTTTTAAAAATA